CATGCTGTTTCAACACCTACAGACTGTCAAGCGTGACCTCATTCTCACCCCTAAGTTCCTCTATTTGATTGGACGTGAGAAGGTGAAACAGGGTCCTGAGAAAGGCCAGATTCGGGAGGTCTTGAAAAGATTGATCGAGGTGGAAAAGATCCAGTCTGTCTCTCTTAGGTACTCCATCTTGTAATATGCATGATAACCTTTAGGCCTTGAAAGTTCTCCCTACATTAAAGCTTCAAACTGATTAATAAATCATACATTTAAATAAGAATGAAAATAAAGGGTTTTCTAACCCTAAGTTCTTAAAGGGATATGAAAATTCTGTCATCATTTGTTCACCCTCAAGTTGTTCCAAACCTGTATGAATGTCTTTTTTCTGCTGAACGCAAAAGAAAATATTTTCTAGTTTCTGATTCCCATTGACTTCCATAGTATTTTTTTCCATACTGTCGAAGTTGCTGGAGCCCAGCAACTGCTTGCCCACATTCTTTTAAATAACTTCTTTTATGTTCAACAGAAGAAAGAAACTCATACAGGTTTGGAACAACTTGTGGGCGAGTGAATGATGCCTTTAAACCAGTATTTAAGCAGGTTTTCATAATTTTCTAAATTGCGTATGGATGGTGGGCAAATCAGTTATTGTACCTCTCTTTCCTCAGCACACTACAGGATGACCTCTTCATAGTGCACGAGGATCAATATGACAGTGTGCTGCAGTCTGTCTTTAAAACCGAATTCCTCAGTCTTCTGTACAAGCGTTACGAGGAAAAAACACGGAAAAAGCTGCCTCTTAAGTTTAACAACCTGTGAGCAATGTTTCCCTCACTGAGAAATGTACCATGTGCTGTATTATTCAGAAAAATTATGATATGTTGGTCTTGTCATTTCAACATTTTTCTCTATCAGGCTTGAATTTAAGGTGAAGAAAGGAGGATGGGGTCCATTTTCATCTGCTGGCTCTCGACAGATCCAGTTTCAGATGGGTCAGGGTGATGAAGCAGTTCTGAAGCCCAGCAGCAAGGTCCTGACTGTCAGTATTGGACCCGGTCTGCCTAAAAATGCAAGTGAGTCCGTTGAAATTTTGAGTTGTAGTAAAAATGTTTTAAATGCTTACAATACAGTGTTTTACTCTTATAGATTGTGTGTCTGTTTATAGTCGAATTTGTAAAACTTTTGAAATACCTTTATGGGCTATATAATCACTATTTAGTAGTCTTGACAACCATTTTGCATACAATTTTGAGATAATGGAGACATACATATTTCCTCGTTCAAAAGTTTGGGCTGGTAAGATTTTTTTTAAAGTGTATCTTATGCTCACCAAGGCTGCATTTATTTGATCAAAAACAGTAATATTGTGAAATATTAATTAGGGCTGTGAAATGATTAATCATAAGTAATCACATCCAAAATAAATAAATAATTTTAAAATGTATACATGTATGTGTGTGTATTTATAGATACATAATAAATATACACAATACACACACACATATTATGTTAACACACACTTTTATTTTGGACGCGATTAATCGCGATTAATTGTTTGACAGCCCTAATATTAATACAATTTAAAATAACTGTTTTGTTTTTTTAAACATATTCTGAAATGTAGTTTATTCCTGTGATGCAAAGCTGAAATTTCAGCAGAAATCATTCTAAGATGCTCATTTGGAAGAAATATACTTATTAACATATAATACATTCAAACATTCGTATTATTATCAATGTTGAAAACAGTTGTGCTGCTTAATATTTTTGTGAAAACAATACATTTTTTCAGGATAGAAAGTTCAAAAGTGGCAGTAAAAACAGCAGTTTATTGTTACAAAAAATGTCTATTAAAAATGCTGTTCTTTTGATCAATGTAATGCATCATTGCTTATTTAAAAGAATTTATTAAGCGTCAAACATTTGAATGATAGTGTATGCATGGTGTGTGTGTATTCTATCCATCCATCCATCCATTCATCCATCTATCTATCTAGTCACAATTATAATTTCTGTAGGACCCACTCGCCGTGACAACCGAAAAAGCAGGTACAAGGGGAACCAAAATCGCAATGTAGGCCAGTATTCACGTGGTAAGACCACAATTTTACATATTTGACAAAAGTTGCCACTAAACTGTTTTAGAAATAGTTTTAAAATGTTCCTATGGCCTGTGATTTCAGAACCTCCTAAGTCTGATAGTCGAGGAAGAGGAACCCAAGGGCAGCCCGCCGTTAGGAACTCTCTGCTCCATCAGCAGTCCAGTATGGATCAGCCTACCCTTCCCAGACTCCAGGGATCTCACTGCAGTCAACGCGAGAGCCACATCGACAGTGATATGGGCTTCATGAAAGTTCCTGATCAGGGCGTGGCAGGGTGAGATGATGTGTTGTATGACAGAATCCCAGATAAATGCGATTAAATGTATTATATCCTCCAAGCCATACTGACTGAAGACTTTACAATCTCGAAACCTGTTTGGCTAAAACTAGATCACAGATCAGTATGTTAATAATTGTAACACAAATTTTTAAAGTGGCCCTATTATGCCATTTTTAAGGTTCCTAATATAGTTTTGGGAGTCTCCTACAATAGGTTTACATGCATGCAAGGTCAAAAAATGCTTTCATTTTATCAAAATATTCATTTAATATCACCTCATTTTCCAACGATTCTCAAACAAATAGTTTGAAGCAGTTCTAAGATTCAGTCTCTCTAAACCCCTCCTTTCCGTGAGCCTACTCTGCTCTGATTGGTCAGATGGCCTAGTCTGTTGTGTTTGGTGTACCGCGTACATCGCGTGTCAGAAACCATATGCCTACTGCCATAGTTCCGTATTCTGAAACGCTCGATAGGAAATATAAACATCTATTATTTATCATACTTACAGGTTGTGATTCAGTGGAGCCAGCTGGTCCAAATAAACTGGGTACAGAGCCATCTTTCAGGAGCAAGCATTTTGTGAATCCCGCGTTGAACCCCCCGAGATTAGAGAAGCTTTCATCAGTAAAATTACGGGAACACAAAAAAAGATTGGGGTTGTACTACTGTGGTACAGTGGAAAAATGAATTTTAACCACTGATTCTTTGCAGCCTCATCTTTCGGAAGTGAAAATAAAATGAATTTACTTTCACAGTGTAGGACACAATGTCTTCCTGACAGGATGTTAACCACACAAAGCTACAGTGTTTGAGGGCGGGTCAAGTTGTTCGCGGCCGGCCAACATAGAACATAGGCGGGCATTATGCAAATGTGTTACCTCGTGATGTGTAGCCGTCACGGAAGTGCGATTCGAATTACTGACGACTCGTTTAGGCTGTTTAGAGTTGATTCCTTCTTTTGGGAGACAATAACTTTATTTATCGTGCACTTTCGACTTTACAACAGATCATTTACATTCACATACAGCCACATTACAGACTGCATGAAAGGCAATATTCGAAATGGCATAATAGTCGCACTTTAAGAAATTAATTCAGTCATTGAGGTTATTATAGTATTTTTTTCTGTTTTCGATGCCATCTGAATTTAATTTGAATAAATACTCTATCATTATTCGTTTTTTTTCAGAGATACTAAAACAAAAAATAATGTGTCAATTTTTATATTATTTTAGTTAATTTTAAAGTGATAGAAATTTAGTTTCAGTTTTTGCCAGCAATGTTAGTTTTTATTTTAATTTCAATATTTTATTTCAATCTTCCAAAGGAAATATTCTCTGTGTTTTCTCTCAGAATGCATCGCAGACGTTCAAAAGAGTACAAGCCTCTTCCAGGTTCAGGGGGACCCAAACCCAAACCCAGACCCCGCACCCCACAATGCAGAGCACTCTACGCTTATGATGCTCAGGACACAGATGAGCTCAACTTTCAAGCAGATGAAATCATAGAAATCCTATGTGAAGGTAATCTATTTTTATAATATTAAAAGTGAACTTTATACAGATTATATTGGGTTAGCGAATACTGCACTAACCCAAGATGTGCTGTCTGCCCAGATCCCTCAGGTTGGTGGCAGGGCCGTCTTCGAGGAAAGGAAGGCATGTTTCCTGGCAACTACGTTGAGAAGATCTAAACCGGCATGCTATTGGACAAAATGTGATTCATAGCAGAAATTCACTCAAGAAGAACAAAGCATCAGCATTATATCAGAGACACTTAGCGCCGAATCATATCCCCAAGTGCATTGATGTTTACTACACAAGGTGCCACCCTGACAAAAATGTGTTAATATTCATTAGGATCCTACATTAAACCACCTACATAAATCAGATGAAATTTTAGGATGTTTTTTAATAGAAAGTAATGTTAGATGTAAATGTAGAAGAAAAACTATAATGCTGTTTCACCATGTTACCCAGTGTAAAACATTATTATTATTTTTTTTAAATGTGTTTTTGGAGAATAGAATGGATACATCAATATTTGAATGTACTGTATTTTACTAAAGTTGTATTTTAAAGATCCAATTTCTACTTTTTTACTGATATTGTACAATTGTATAAAATCAGAGAAGCTGTTTTTAGATACTCAGACAAAAAATAAATACATTTTAATTAATTAAAATTAATTAGTTAATTTTGACAAGCACAATTTTTCTTGCCTTTATAGACAAATTTCGAATGAAACAGCAAAATGGGGTGAGACGTATTAAAGAGTCCATTGAGGGACTTCTCATTCTAGTTAGCATTTGATTGGACAAAAAAAATCTGTGAAGTGCATAAGTCATCATCAATATTTTTGTTTAATTTTCCCTCAAAAGAAATATTTTAATTTTCAAACATGTATATTTGATAAAATATTGGGTCATTTTTATTTGGTCACAGTTTAGGAGAACACTAGCATAGAGATGATTCTCAAAGGTAACACATGGACCCTCTCATTTTAGGGTCTTTCGTGAGTCCACAACATAACTACATTTCCCGACACACCATGTGACGTCACGACGTAGGTCACGTGTGCTCGCAAACCTCTGAATTCCGAGTGGCTCAACTTACAGTGAGCCACTGAGACACTACACTTTACAGAGGCACTGAAGGGCATTTTATACTCCTTCAGGATATTCCGTTACGTGAAAACTCTCGGGCTCCGTGTAACAATGGAGGCATATTTACGGAGCTGTCGTGGCGTGCTTAAGGTAAGACAATGGTAACGTTACTGTACGCTAAAAGAGAGGGTTGCGCGTGGTATGTTTGCTTCTACCATTTTACCCACTTAAAATGTGGCCAGTGGCCAGTGTTTGCACAGTGCGTGTTGAGAAATTCATAAACATGAGTGTGTTTGCCGTGTATGATGGCTTTGTGTGATAAATAATGTATGCTTTGTTTGATACACACTTGAAATTGACACAAGTCATATGGTATGACGCGCGTGTAGACTCTGACCGCATGCGCCAATGATAGAAACAACCACATACATTGAAACTACGCACGCGTGCTTGTTTATGTTTTTAAATTGTATAATAACAATACGTTTATCATAATGTTATTTATACGTGTATAATTTTATTTTAAAAAGTACATTAAGTAATATATATATATATATATATAATTATATATTACATTTACACAATTTTTCATTTACAAATGTACACACTTTTTATAATTTACACATTTGCTATTAAAAGCGGTTTAAAACAAATTTAATGAGCTGTTTGGTTCAAATGCATCTTTTGGAGACTATTTTCTAAAGGTGCTGTCAGTATGTTTAGTCAATAAGAACAATTCCCACTTTTCTAGTTTTTCAGCTTAATGCACTCAGTTTCAAAACTGAAGGTGGCCCAATTTGCAGAGACAATAACAGCTGCTGTCCGGTGCACATGATCCTGACATAATCTGTCCAACAGTTGTACATCTCTCTACCCAAAACACTGTTGTTTTAAACCCAAACACCCTGACACCTGCACTCACCCACTGCTGGGTGGATATACTGAAGCCCCGTGTTTACTTGGAGATGGGTTCTTTAACTAATTCAGTCAATGATTGAAGAAATGATTCGGTTGCACTTGTGGTCATAGTGCTTTTTGTCTGCATTGAAGCGTGAGTTTTCAAATAGATCGCACACTAGAGCTCTTTCTACCCTGACCCGAGACCCGCAGGTTCTGTACCGTTTACTCACCGTCCCGTGGTCCATTTCACATTGCTGTGACTAACTTCCTGTGCTGTCCTCCGGCCATGCACATACGGACATGAATAAGCATGTTTTTCCTGCACTTCCCCATCTAACAGAGATTTTGGTGATGATTATCACATGAGAAAGAGGGATCTTGCCAAAACCTCACCCGAAACAAGCCTCACCCCTGGTCTGTGCCAGTTGTGAGCTCAGTCACTCTGTGTTGACAGTCCGTAGTCCAGCATTTCAAACAAACCCCAGCTGGCAGCCCAGATCAGAGTACATCATTTAATGTTGACGTCACAGATGGCTTCTGTATTCGGCTGGAGTAATGGAGCAGGCCAAATGCTAATTAACGCTGGATGAGGAGTCATCATGCGGAGGGATAAAAGGTTTTATTGAATCCAGGGCGATGCGTTCGGTGTTATTCTATTAAAAGTGCTTTTCATCTCGCAAGTGGTCCAGCAAATAGGCTTCGAAATAGAGTTGTGAGTTCTTAAGTTCCAAAATAAAAAAAGAGAGAGAGAGAAAAGCACATTTTAAGAAACATATAATCCATAACTACACTACTGTTTGAAAGTGTTGGTCAGTCTTTTTTATAAAGAAAGTAATAATTTCATTCAGCAAGGATCCATTAAATTGACCAAAACTTACAGTAAAGACATTTATAATGTTACAAAAGATTTCTTTTTCAAATAAATGCTGTTCTTTTGACATTTCTGTTCGTCAAAGAATCCAGAAAATCAAAAAATTATTCCGCAGCAACTGTTTTCAAAATCAATAATAATAAATGTTTTTCACAGTGTTTTCACAAGAATAATATATTTAAAAAGAAAGAGTTATTTTAAATTGTAATAATATTTCACAATATTACTGTTTTTATTCTTTTTTTAAAAAATGCAGCCTTGGTGAGCAAAAAAGCCATCAGAAACATTAAAAATCTTACAGACTCCAGACTTTTTTTTTTTTATTTTTTTTTTACAGTAGTGTATATTCCAAGTCTTCTGAAGCTGTACTATTATTCATCATGTTCTTCTTTTTCAAATAAATGCTGTTCTTTTGACATTTCTGTTCGTCAAAGAATCCAGAAAATCAAAAAATTATTCCGCAGCAACTGTTTTCAAAATCAATAATAATAAATGTTTTTCACAGTGTTTTCACAAGAATAATATATTTAAAAAGAAAGAGTTATTTTAAATTGTAATAATATTTCACAATATTACTGTTTTTATTCTTTTTTTAAAAAATGCAGCCTTGGTGAGCAAAAAAGCCATCAGAAACATTAAAAATCTTACAGACCCCAGACTTTTTTTTTTTTATTTTTTTTTTACAGTAGTGTATATTCCAAGTCTTCTGAAGCTGTACTATTATTCATCATGTTCAGAACAACACTGAAATTGACTCTAAAAATCTGTAGTGCACTTCACCATAGCTCTCAAATCTCATTTTCGCCTCTGTATATTGTTACTTACTGTGAAATCGTTTACAAGACATGCAAAAACAAAAGCCATTATTGTTAGCATTAAATGTTTTCACACAATATTTAAATATGTGGAAGTGTGGATGAGATTTGAGCTGTGGCAGAGAACGATTTTCAGCTAATAAAACAGATCTGTTCCTCACAAATACATAATTTGACTATATAGTGCATAAGTTATGTGGCCTACTTTAAAAAAAAAAATTTTTTATAACCCCTAGTCACTGTATGTATGTATTTTATTGTATGAACAAGAGCAGTGTCAGCATTCATCAAAACATCTTTTATGTCGAACAGAAAAAAAAAGTCTTGGAAGTTGAGCAAATGATGACAGAAGTTTCATTTTTGGGTTAACTATCCCTTTAAGAACAAATATTAAACTTAAAAGAAAATGAGTTATTCATGTTATCATCTGTTAAAGGAATACACTGCTTTACTAAATCTGGTGAGAAGCCACAAAATGTGTTTTATCTCTGACACATTGTACCTCCCACTGGCTGCCGGTAATATAGAGCGACCGGGTGATCATAAGTTCAGCATTGTTTGTCAGATGAAGCTCTTTGTGGAGCTGGAAGTCTTCACAGTCTGTTGGATGCATTTTCAGCTTGTCATGTACTTGCTGCTTGCAGTAAATATTTATGCGTAGGTAATGTCACAGAAACCAAAAACAGACATTCTAGTTTTGTATTTCAGCCTGGTTTAATAAAGGCCACCAAAACCTTATTATGAAGAACTAGGTTTGCAGTTATATGTTATGAATTCTTGTCCTATATTAGTCCAGCAGCCTGTGACATTGTTCTCTTTCATTCTCAGGGTTGTAGTAAGAACAGCCCAGGGCTGCATGTCGTAATGGGAAATGAGGCTTGTGATATGGACTCCATGGTATCAGCCCTGACCTTCGCCTACTTTCTTTCAAAGGTATGCAATCCCCAACCTAATAAACCACTTTTGCTGCGGTGTTCTTGGAAAACTTGAGAATTGTGGCAGAGATAATAGATGTGATAATTCTGTGCTAGAGGATGGGGATTATTGTTTTGTTCATCATTATTGTTGTCCTCTCGTAGAGTCTTGATTGTAAGAAGATGCCGGTCCCTGTACTCAACATCCCACGAGCTGAGTTCCCCTTGCGCTCTGACAGCATCTTTCTGCTGAGAGAGACCGGTCTGTCGCAGGACTGCCTGCTGTTCAGAGACGAGGTGGACCTCCACGGCCTGCACAAGAATAAACAACTGATGCTGACCCTGGTCGACCACAATATTCTGCCCAGGTCAATCTTCTGTTCTGTAGCACATATGCAATATGTGTAGTACACCATGTTCCATCTTCACATAAAAAATTCATGCAGTTTTAGAGTAATTAATGAACTGAGTTTGGGGTCAGTAAGATTTGTTGTTTTTGAAAGGAATTAATACATTTATTCAGCAAGGATGGATTAAATTCATCAAAAATGACAGTAAAGACTTTTATAATGCTCCCAAAAATGTCAATTTTAAATAAATGCCATTCTTTGAGCTGTCAATTCATCAATTGAGCATTCGTTTCATCAAGGATGCTGAAAAATGTCATGGTTTCCAACAAAAAATATTAAGCACCAGCACAACTGTTTTCATTGATAATAATCGGAAATGTTTCTTATGCACCAAGTCATTGTATTAAAATGATTTCTGAAGGATCATGTGATACAGAGACTAGAGTAATGACTGTTGAAAATTTAGCTTTGCAATCACAGGAATAAATTACGCTTGTTCTTTTAAATTGTAATTTTTAATTGCTGAGCATATATAAAAGCATATGAGCATATAAAGATGACTTTCAAAAAATTACATAATCTCATCTGCCAACTTTTAAACAGTAGTAGTTATGTATTTAAAATAATACATTTATAATAATAGCCATTAATTGCAATAGAATTATGAAGCATTTTACTGCACCATATGCCTGAATGTATGTAAATGTGTGCTAAAAGGGTCTCTTTAAAAATGAATGGCAACAAAAAATAAATATCAGAATATTGTTACAACAGTTATTGTATATTAATCTAATTAGTGCACCATTAATAGCTACATATAAAGTGTTTATTGTACTGAACCTGTGACCACAGAAGCAGGATACGTGCTGAAATGTGAAACATTTTAAAAATATATTAATATAAATAATATAACCCATAAAATAAATATATTCTATAAATATAATAAATATATTCATATTCTAATATTAATAAATATTAGAATATGCAATAATATATGAATATTATTATTATTATTTTAAATCTGTGAAATGCCAATCAAGTTCTGAAGTGAATATCAGGAAATGTGGTCAGTTCTTTTATAATAAATCTGTGTTATTCTGTAGTGCTGACAGTGAACTGGAGGACGCAGTTGTGGAAGTGATTGACCATCACCTCCTACAGAGGCCCACATCCCCCTCCTGCCCTGTCACTGTGGAGCCCGTGGGCTCCTGTGCCACCTTGGTTACAGAGCGCATAGCCCAAAAAGCACCTGAGGTGCTCGACCAACAAGTGGCTCAGCTTTTATACGGTGAGTCATGGCGATGTGATAAACACAGAGGAATGTGAGCTCTCACAGCATGACTGCTATTCAATCTGTTAGACGCTGTTGTTAGACATCAGATGGGCTCAGCATGGTCTTCAGTGGCATTTAGCCGGAGTCAGTTTGTCCATGGTACCCTCTAGATTTGACTTGATAGAGATGTGAGATGTCAGCAGAAAGATAAAATCTTGTTAACTTGCATAATGTATGTGTTGACAGGTGCCATTATCCTAGACTGTGTTAACATGGCACCTGAGGCAGGCAAAGTCACCCCTAAGGACAGCCAGTACGCCGTCTTTCTGGAGAAACGTTTTCCCAAACTGCCTCAGAGGGGTGCTCTCTTTCAGTCGCTACAGAATGCCAAGTTTGATGTGTCAGGTGAGAGGATCTTTTACTGTGTAGGTTAATGAAACAAACCACTTGATGTAGACATAATAAACAGTATAATTTGAAAGCATGCATTCATCAAAAGTAATTTCACGGTACTGTTCTGTATTTCAGGGCTCTCCACAGAACAGATGCTGTTGAAAGACATGAAAGCAGCATCTGGTGGGGATCTAAAATTAGCTGTCAGTGTCATTTACATGACACTAGAGGTCAGTGCTGTTATTTGACATATTTCACTTGACCTCTAATAGCTTCTACAATCTCTGAAGCTTGTAATGTCTTGATTTGATTGTTTTTGGCTGATACCGCTTTTAACAAAAAATTATATTTATGCATATATAAACAAATTCTGATATTTTGTCACTATTGCATGTTTTTTTTTTTGTCACCTGATTGGTGTTTTGTTTGAATTGTGTTTTTAAAGGGGTCATATGATGCTGCTAAAAAGAACATTATTTTGTGTATTTGGTGTAATGAAATGTGTTTATGCGGTTTAAAGTAAAAAAAACACATTATTTTCCACATACTGTACATTATTGTTTCTCCTCTATGCCCCGCCTTTTTGAAACGCGTCGATTTTTACAAAACTCATCGGTCTGAAAAAGCGAGGTGTGCTGTGATTGGCCAGCTATCCAGTGCGTTGTGATTGGCCGAATACCTCAAGCATGAGACGGAAATGTTACGCCCCTCACCATACTGTGATGGCGTGTCCCAGCCGGAGCGACGACACAAAAACATTAAAACCCATTACAAACGAGGCATTTGTTGCATCTAGTGGGGACATAATTACTGATTATAATGACTTATACTGTCTTTTTACGCGTTGCATTGCATCGTGCCGCGTAAACATAAAACCCTGTCTGCATTTGTGATCAGAGAAATGACAAACAACAAGTGCTACTCCACACTGCCCAAAAAACTCGCGTTTGAATCATCAGTGGCAAATGATAAAAGAAAACGTACTTACGTGAGTCAGAACTGCCGGCATTTTAGTCTAACGTTACTCTCCCAGGATCAGTAAACAGTCCTCCATAAAATGTGCCGGCGATCCACAGCACTAAGTTGAAGTATTCCCTCAGCGACCAGCACAGATCAGCTCTAGGCATGACGAAGTGGATATCGTCCTCTTTTGGAAGACCAAACAAAGTAGTTTCGCTTTTACAACGAAACACACAGCGTCTTCAGGACATGGCGGCAACGGCAACAACAATACTACAGCGAGAATAAAAGTTACGCCTTCTTTCTTTGCGTGAACATTTGGGCGGCATTATGCAAATCTTCCCACATAGTGAGGTAGATATGTGGGGGCGTGTTCGAACGAGCCGTTTTAGGTAGGTGTGGCTGACTCTTAACTTTGATAAAGAATATCTCTTTGGATTTGAGACTTTAGTCTTTACAACTTTACAGATCTTCTTTATGCACCAAGAGCTTGTAACACTCCAAAGAGAAAGGAAAAAATGAAATCGCATCATATGACCCCTTTAAAGGATTTAATCACACTCTTAAGTTATTTTTTTTTGTAATTGTTGTAGCAAAATTCTATAATGTCTGTTGAATTTTTTTTCTTTCATTGCTTTTCTTTCAAACAGACACGTCTGTTTTTTTAATTGCAATATTACATAGGAACAATGAAAGAAGTAATATAATACTAATATGATCATTTCAATAGGGGTTTTAAACAATAAAACTTTTTTTGTGATGGAACATTACAAATTACTCACACCTCAGTCTATTTTATTAACTATTAAATGTGTTTCAGTACTGAACGATTGTTTGCTATACATGCAGAATGTATTCTTGTTTTCTTAAAAGTAACTTTGGATTTCATCTTGAAATTATAAACTACTTTTAGCTCAAGTTGCTGAATAAACAGCAATGTGATGCATGGTCAAAAACAAAAGATGCTTGTTTTATGCCTGTGTATGCAGTGCTGCTTGAAAGTTTGTGAACCCTTTAGAATTGTCTATTTCTGCATAAATATGACCCAAAACATAATTAGATTCTCACACAAATCCTGAAAGTTGACAAATTCACATACTTTTGCCACTCACAAATATTTAACACCAGATCATTTTTCTCAATAAATAAATGACAAAGTATATATTTTTGTCTCTTTTGTTTGATTGGATTCTCTTTGTCTACTTTCAGGATTTGTGTGAAAATCTAATTATGTTTTGGGTCATGTTTATGCAGAAATATAGAAAATTCTAAAGGGTTCACAAACTTTCAAGCAGCACTGTATACTATAGGTGATTGTATTGGTGCATCTCTATAACCTATAAGTTATGTATGGAATCTCATTGCATACTTGCAGCATTTCTAAAACTCTCTAGCAGGACTATTTCTGATGCTTATTTTAAATTTAGAAGATCACTATGGGATCATATTCCCGCCAAATGTATTGCAGTCACAGATAAAAAAATAACAAGCGTGAAACCAAAATTTAAAAACTCCACTAGTTCTAGATTGACAGCTCCTCCTCTAGCCAATCAGTCGAAGAGGGGCAGTGACGTCACTCCAATGCGCCTCATTACTGCCGATGTTCAGTGTTCTGTTCACTTGTACAGGTGAAAATGGACAACTGTCAGCTGGGAAACATCTTTCCATACAGGACACCGTTATATGTGTCTGTCTGTCACTGCTTTACGTTTGCTATTCTGAAAAATTTGCTTTCATTTTTTAATTTTGTGCAATATAATTTTGCTTGCGTTTTTCAATTTTGGTTTCACGCTTGTTATTTTTTTATCCATGACTGCAATACATTTGGCGGGAATATGATCCCATAGATCACATGCAAATTACATGTTTCCTCCTAAATGAAGTGAATCTTGTGTTTGTGGTATGCATTTAGCCTCAGTACTTGGTTCCACAAAGAGAGAGAGGAAATGTAGATTCTGAAATTTAAGGAGCTACTGTTGTGGGCACAAAGTGTGCTCATGTGCCCATCCTCGTGACTCATGTGAATTCCTCATTAATACTGAAGCACAACTGATTCCAAGTCAGACACACCCAGACTCACCGCAGGGCTGGGCGGCCTGTCTCGCACACCCACTGATTACACCAGACGTTAACCTCCGTGACAGACTCTACACTTCTCTTGTTAGTACACATACAATATTAAGACATGATGTTGCTGAATCAGATGTGAGAAGTATCAAAACTTTCTTTGTTCACACTATAGGAGACTTTTTTTTTTCTTTTTTTTTTACATTGTATAGTAAGTCCAAAAAATAAGTCCCCGATATTTTAATTATAACACTTGAAAAATAAATGATATTACCCACAGAATCTCAATTATTACTTCAAAGTAATAATGCCACTTATTTAATGTTTATTACATAATTATTTAAACTGTCAAATTACCAAAGTTAATCAGAAATATTTGTCAATTGATTCAGAAGAGATCAGAGATGTCATAAAATAAAATGTTTGATCTGTGCATATTTTAAAGATTACATTTTTCAGGTGTAAATACCTTGCACTGATAAATGTAATTTTTTTTTTTTTTTTTTTTTT